ACCCAAAAAATTTTGTCATCATTTACTCATCTTCATTTCATTCTAAACCCCATCTAGACTTTTGAAAGAATATTTTAAATTTCTGTCATGAATGTGCATATACAATACAGTACACATACATACATATTTAATACAGTGTATTAAATATGGTAAACATGCTTGCTTGAAGTGCAGGAGCCAGTGATGTTTGTTTTTACGTGGCAAGGATGCACGGTTGAGTTTACCCTGTTTAATGTGCTTTATGAATGTGCATTGGTCAATGTTTATATGTGAATAAAGGCTTAAATTAAATCTATTTAAGCCTTTAAGACTATTTAAGACTTTGATGAAACCGCTCAGTTCACATGGCTTACTTTTTCATTATGTAGACTTCCAGTGGTTGGACAGAAAGATAAAACAAACAGCTTTTTTTATTTTATGTGTCATTTTTGACACATGTGTCAATGTCTTGGCTGAACTAACCTTTTAATTTTTGCTTTACTTTTGCAGCCTGTTAAAAAGAAGAAGATTAAGCGTGAGATCAAAATTCTGGAGAACTTAAGAGGAGGAACCAACATCATTCGCCTTGTAGACACAGTGAAGGATCCTGTGGTAAATTTAGCTCTAGTAATACAACTGTTTCCTACAGAATTCTGTTTTTGCTAAATTAGTCGTAACATATTAAATAAAATATGATGTATTATGTTGTCAGCAGGCCCACACAGAAACTGTGTGCAAATTTGTATAGAATTGCATTTTGTGACATTAGTAAAATATTTTGATTAATTTAATAATTATTTTTATCTACCACTAACAGTGTAGTACCTTTCAGTTCCATTTAACACATCGTATCATATTTACAGTGGGGAAAATATTTATTTGATCCCCTGCTGATGTGTGTCATTTTTGACACATGTGTCAATGTCTTGGCTGAACTAACCTTTTCATTTTTGCTTTACTTTTGCAGCCTGTTAAAAAGAAGAAGATTAAGCGTGAGATCAAAATTCTGGAGAACTTAAGAGGAGGAACCAACATCATTCGCCTTGTAGACACAGTGAAGGATCCTGTGGTAAATTTAGCTCTAGTAATACAACTGTTTCCTACAGAATTCTGTTTTTGCTAAATTAGTCGTAACATATTAAATAAAATATGATGTATTATGTTGTCAGCAGGCCCACACAGAAACTGTGTGCAAATTTGTATAGAATTGCATTTTGTGACATTAGTAAAATATTTTGATTAATTTAATAATTATTTTTATCTACCACTAACAGTGTAGTACCTTTCAGTTCCATTTAACACATCGTATCATATTTACAGTGGGGAAAATATTTATTTGATCCCCTGCTGATTTTGTAAGTTTGCCCACTTACAAAGAAATTAAGGGTCTGTAATTTTTATGGTAGGTTTATTTTAACATATAGAGACAGAATACCAACCAAAAATCCAGAAAAAAACAGAATATATAAAGGTTAGAAATTGATTTTCATTTCAGTGAGTGAAATAAGTATTTGATCCCCAAGCAAAACATGACTTAGTACTTGGTGCAGAAACCCTTGTTGGCAAGCACAGAGGTAAGATGTTTTTTGTAGTTGGTCGCCAGGTTTGCTCACATCTCGGGAGGGATTTTGATCCACTCCTCTTTACAGATCCTCTCTAAATCCTTAAGGTTTCTTGGCTGTCGTTTGGCAACTTGAAGTTTCAGCTCCCTCCACAGATTTTCTATAGGATTGAGGTCTGGAGACTGGCTAGGCCACTCCATGACCTTAATGTTCTTCTTCTCTTTTGTTGCCTTGGCGGTATGTTTCAGGTCATTGTCATGCTGGAAGACCCATACATGACCCATCTTCAGTGTTCTGGCTGAGGGAAGGAGGTTCTCATATGGGGACCTTGCGGGCGCTGCAGGATTTCAGTCCATAGTGTGTTACTAATGTTTTGCTTGGTGACTGGTCCCAACTGCCTTAAGATCATTAACAAGCTCCTCCAGGTAGTTCAGGGCTGATCCCTCACCCTTCTTATGATCATCCTTACCCCATGAGGCAAGATCTTGCACGGAGCTCCAGACCGAGGCCGATTGATGGTTGTTTTGTATTTGTTCCATTTCTGAATAATCGCACCAACAGTTGTCTCCTTCTTACCAAGCTTCTTGCTGATGGTCTTGTAGCCCAATCCAGCCTTGTGCAGATCTACAATCTTGACTCTGACATCCTTTGACAGTTCTTTGGTCTTGCCCATGGTGGTGGGAGAGGTTGGCATGGAAGATACAGATTGTGTGGACGGGTGTCTTATACACCTAACGAGCTGACATTAGGAGCAACTCCTTAAAGGGGTCATGATGACATAGGGCTGGACAATAATTCAATATCAATATGTATCGCGATATAATGTTTTTCACATTTCCGATATTTCGATATACATTACCAGTTTCCCCTACATTAATTTATTTGTGCCGTTTGACTTCGTTGAATAAACATGAGCACTGCACGTTTCAAAATCATAACACGGCGCGGGTGTTTTATATGAATGTATCTCTGAAGGGAACCGACTGTCTTCAGAAAAGTTTAGATGAATAAAGTAGCATTCATGAGCGGAGCTGCTTTGATTACAGCCATTACTGGAGAAACCGCTAGTTTTATCACTCTAAAAGCGCCTCCTGCTGGCAGAGAATGAGTTTTCATTTTAAATAAGTCCGTCTCCAGCAACATTTCCAGTTTTTGTTGTTCAATTTTTTTTGTTTTCTGCAGCGACTCGGAGTTCAATTTTTTTTGTTTTCTGCAGCGACTCGGAGCACTTTTCATACCCTTTTTTCCGACTGAAGCACATTTGTTTCAATCTATAAGAATAATCAGCCTACACTACCAGTCAAAAGTTTTAGAACTAAGATTTTTAAGGAATTTTATTTAATTTATTTTTTTATTCTCTTCTGCTCAACAAGGCTGCATTTATCTGATCCAAAGTACAGCAAAAACAGTAAAATGTTGAAATATTTTTACTATTTAAAATGACTTTCTATTTGAATAGATTTTAAAATATAATTTATTCCTGTGATCATACATAGGTAAATTTTCAGCATCATTACTCCAGTCTTCAGTGTCACATGATCCTTCAGAAATCATTATAATATGCTGATTGATCAGCTGATTGCTGATTATCAATATTTAAAACAGTTGAGTAAAACAAATTTTCAGGATTCTTTGAGGAGCGTGATGGATTGTAGCGTGGCAGAAGACTAGTTAGGCACGCAGGAGCTAACCCATTTAGGGCCTTATAGGCAAGTAATAATATTTTGTAACTGATACGGAACTTAATAGGTAGCCAGTGCAGAGACTGATAGTTTTGTAATCGATCTAGGAGTATGTCATGATCTATAGTTTTGAACGCAGCACTAAGATCAAGTAAAACTAGCAATGAAATTCTTCATAGAGATCTTTTTTTTGCAGGAAGGAGCGCAATTGTGCAGACAACTTTTTCTAAAATTTTAGACATAAAAGGAAGATTTGAGATGGGTCTGTAATTTGCCAGTTCACTAGGATCTAGTTGTGGTTTCTTAAGAGGCTTAATAACCGCCAGCTTGAATGGTTTTGGGACGTGACCTAAAGACAACAACGAGTTAATAATATTGAGAAGCGGTTCTTCTGCTACAGGTAACAACTCTTTCAGTAATTTAGTGGGTACAGGATCTAAAAGGCATGTTGTTGGTTTAGATGCAGTGATAAGTTTATTTAGCTCTTCCTGTCCTATAATTGTAAAACATTGCATTTTATCTTTTGGTGCGATGAATGAAGCTGAAGTATTATACGCTGTAGAATCTACATTTGTTATTGTATTTATGATGTTATCTATTTTATCAGTGAAGAAATTCATTGATTCATGAAGTCATTACTATTAAACTATGAGGGAATATTTAGATCGGGTGGCGTCTGGTTATTTGTTAATCTAGCCACTGTGCTAAATAAAAACCTAGGATTGTTTTGGTTATTTTCTATGAGTTTGTGGATATGCTCGGCCCTGGCAGCTTTTAGAGCCCGTCTATAGCTGGACATACTGTTTTTCCACGCAATTCTAAAAACTTCCAAGTTAGTTGTTCTCCATTTGCACTCAAGATTATGAGTTTCTCTCTTGAGACGATGGGTATTACTGTTGTAGCATGGCACAGTACATTTTTCTCTAACCTTTTTCAATTTGATGGGGGCAACAGCTTCTAATGTATTAGAGAAGATAGTGCCCATGTTGCTAGTCATTTCGTCTAGTTCATGTGTACTTATTGGTACACAGAGCAGTTGAGATAAATCAGGCAGGTTATTTGTGAATCTGTCTTTGGTGGCTGGAACAATAGCTCTGCCCTGACGATAACGCGGAGCCATATAGTTAAAATCAGTAATACGCAGCATGCACAATACAAGGAAAGGGTCAGTAACATCATCACTTTGAGATACGATATCTATATCAGTAAGATCAATTCCATACGATATAATTAAATCTAGCGTATGATTAAAACGATGAGTGGGCCCAGTGACGTTTTGCTTGACTCCAAAAGAGTTTATTAGGTCAGTAAACGCAAGTCCTAAAGCATCATTTGTATTATCAACGTGAATATTAAAATCTCAGACAATTAGCGCTTTATCAACAGTAACCAATAGGTCTGAGAGGAAATCTGCAAATTCTTTTAGGAAATCTGTATACGGCCCTGATGGTCTATACACAGTAGCCAGAGCAAGAGATAAGATAGATTTAATGACTTATACTGTTTTTTTACGTGTTGCGTAGCATTGCGCCGCGTAAACATAAAACCATGTCTGCATTTGTGATAGGAGAAACGACAAACAACAAGCACTACTCTACACTGCTCAAAACTCACTTTGAATCATCAGTGGCAAATCCTTTAAATATGAAAATTTACTTAAAGACTGCGAGTCAGAGCAGCCGGCATTGTAGTCTACTCTCACAGGATCAGGAAACAGTCCTCCATAAAATGCGCTGCACACATCTGAATATTTGTGTTGAACTGTTCTGGAACAGTGTTGTAAATAAAACTTAACCACTGATTTCTAGTCGTATCCTCTTTTAGAAGGCCAAACAAAGTAGTTTCGCTTTCACAACGAAACACACGGCGGGCTTGAGTGAGCGGAGGCCGGTGGCTAGAGTGAGGAACGGCCGGCGGATTCAACGAAGGAGCAGCCGGTGGTCTTGCAGCAACCACATGTGACGTCCCCGGGCTGTACTCCGCTTCGTCCACGGTGAAAGCCGATCTGGCGATCCACAGCACGAAGTTGATGTATTTCCTCAGCGACCAGCACGGATCAGCTCTATTCATGACGAAGCGGATATCGTCCTCTTTTGGAAGGCCAAACAAAGTAGTTTCGCTTTCACAACGAAACACACAGCGCCTTCATGACATGGCGGCCGTGGCAACAACAATACTACAGTGAGAATAAAAGTTACGCCTCCTTTCTTTGTGTGAACATTTAGGCGGTGTTATACAAATCTTACCAGATTGTGACGTAGACATGTGGGGGCGTGTTAGAACGAGCCATTTTAGGTAGGCGTGGTTGACTCTTAACGTTTATAAAGAATATCTCTTTGGATTTGAGACTTTAGTCTTTGCAACTTTACAGATCTTCTTTATGCACCAAGAGCTTGTAACACTCCAAAGAGAAAGGAAAAATTGAAATTGCATCATATGACCCCTTTAAAGGTGACATATCATGAAAATCTGACTTTTCCAGGTCTCCAGTGCATCTACCAACCATTATTATAAGCCGTTATTGTGTTTTCGCAAGCGAAACACCAGTTCTAATGCCATGGCGAAAGTTTGAGCAAAACATGCTAACTGTTCTGTCATTGGCTGCACAGAACACTATTTAGAGTCCCAGCCTCAGAGGAGACAAGAGAGCAGTGGATTTATTGATTCATTTAATGTATATTGCTGCTGCCACACAGATCTAAATGAAACATGTGATTTATTTCCCAGCTTTTTACCTTCACAGACATAACCGACAGTTTTTTGTAACTCGTGTTTTTAACAAACTTGTGTGTGAATGAGAACTTCGTTTAGTACTCGTATGCTGTGACAGCTGCTTTCTGTCCGTGTGCTTCGGATGTGTGCTCTCAGAAAACCATATATCAGAAGTTTAAATGCATATGGTTTAAAATGCATGATTTCAGCGCGATAAACATGATAATCAGAACCAAAACAGATTTTTTTTAGCAGGTAAAAGCTGTAATGGCGCAGCTCTGGAAAAGGGGGCGGGGAGCAGCAGCTCATTTGCATTTAAAGAGACTGGCCCGAAAAACATTGTGTTTCTGCTTCCACTCAAAATAGGCATTTTCAAAATTATATAATAAATGGTCTGTGGAGTATTTTGAGCTGAAACTTCACAGACACATTCTGGGGACACCAGAGACTTATATTACATATTGTAAAAAGGAGCATAATATGTCTCCTTTAAAGTGAAAGGACTAATCTGTGTTCCACATTGGCACATAACCAGACTGTGGGAGCCAGAATTCTTGCTGGTTGGTAGGGGATCAAATACTTATTTCACTCACTGAAATGTAAATCAGTTTCTAACCTTTTATATAATGTTTTTTTTACTGGATTTTTTGGTTGATATTCTGTCTCTATCCATTAAAATAAACCTACCATTAAAAATTACAGACCCTTCATTTCTTTGTAAGTGGGCAAACTTACAAAATCAGCAGGGGATCAAATAAATATTTTCCCCACTGTAAATCAATCATAGAACTGGCAGATGTATTATCCAGTTATCTAGTGTTATCCATAACTGCTTCTAAATTAGGGTTAATTTGTGTCAGGTAAATAAGTAAACCATCAGGAAGTGTCTATTGTATGTATGCATTCCATCTTTGTTATAAGTTATATTTTTACGCCTTTTTTTTTTTTTTTTGGTATTCCACAGTCTAGAACGCCAGCCCTTGTGTTTGAGTACATCAATAACACGGACTTCAAGGTACCACTTATAAAATATATATATATATATATTGTGTACTGTATATATCGAGGGGTGAGAACCAGAAGGGCGTAAGTGAAATTTTTGGTGAAATGGAGATATATATACCATATGAAAGCTCTTAATGAGCTCTTTCTACTGGCAAAAGTACTGTCATCCATGAGTGTACAAATGTTTTGGCTCTCCCATAAAGTTTGTGAAATGTCACTCACCCCTCGATATGTACTGCATTAGACTAACCGAGACTTGTCTTAGCACTTGCTTATTGCTCTTTTGTTGATTTTGATTGCTTCTATTGTCCTCATTTGTAAGTCATCTGCTGAATGACTAAATTTGTGTGTGTATGTATAAGAACTCTATGTGTGTGTGTGTGTATATGTGTATATATATATATATATATATATATATATATGTATATGTGTGTGTGTATATATATGTGTGTGTGTGTGTGTGTATATATATATATATATATGAACTACTTTTGTCTGATCATATTTGGATATCATCAATAAAAGGAGATAATCTGAAATATGCAGCATTTAATCTCATTAATTAAAGAACATTCATTTAATGTTTTCTGATTTGTAGGATCTCTATCAGAGACTAACAGACTTTGATATCCGGTTCTACTTGTATGAACTTCTAAAGGTAAGAATGCTGTGATGTAGCTGAAATAAGATTACACTGTCATTTATTTTGAACAGGAGAGTGTGTTATGTGCGTCTGCTTTGTCTCTATGCAGGCACTGGACTACTCTCATAGCATGGGCATCATGCATCGGGATGTCAAACCTCATAATGTCATGATAGACCACCAAATGAGAAAGGTGAAGTCTGATAACAGCATTGTGGATTCGTTTTTGAATGTGTTCCTTGCTAGTGACTGCAGATCAATGTTGGTGACCTGATGTATGTGTGGGGGGATTTTTAATTTTTAATTTTTTTTTAACCTGGCGTAGTTGCGGCTAATAGATTGGGGTCTTGCTGAGTTCTACCATCCCGCACAGGAATACAATGTAAGGGTCGCCTCAAGATCATATAAGGGACCAGAACTGCTGGTTGACTATCAGGTAAATTGTGTCTTATAATTGTTGTCTGTCCATACTGTTTTTTTTGGGGGGAAGCACTTCAGGTTTATGTGATTTTCTACATGAATAGCTCCTAAAATATGTCCCTTTTGTAATCATTATGTGTTTGACAGTGTCATGTGTTTAGCCTTATTCAGACAGTAATTGTTTCTCATGGGAATGTAAGGCAATTTTACAATTGCTAGGGGTTTTATTGCCATCTAAATGCAGAATTTAGTTGTTTTTCTCCCACCACCCATGTAAAAATTACCAGCCAAGTTTTTGAAAACACCAAGGTTGTGTGGTAATTCTATTGCCATCTGAATCCATATCTCTGAGGTTACAAAAGTAATTTTTTAAAATCCTTTTTGACCACTGCCAAGCACCTTATGTTAACTGGTGCACTTTACGGTAATGTACACGCTTTTTAAATATGAACGTTTATTACTGAAATACTGGAAACTCTTAAACTTTTGAAATTAACCATTACAGTATGCAGTACATCTTTAAAATATTTATTATGTACATAGATTTGATGCGTGTGTGTGTGTGTGTGTGTGTGTATGTGTGTGTGTGTGTGTGTGTGTATGTATGTGTATATAATATAATTATATAATTTATAAATAATAAATTATGGTTATTACTACTAATTATTTCACTTGTTCAAATGGGTCAAATGTTTACTTTATGTACATTTCCAGGGGCCGTATGTATAAAGCTGCTCAGAGTAAAATTGTAGTCTTAAGTGTGTCAAAATTCTTAGAATGACGTAATTTTACTCCTATTCCTAGACTTAAGAATAAGTGTGATTCATAAAGGTTCCTAAGTGTTAAGACTAGGTCTCAGCTCCTAAATGATTTAAGAGAGCTGGAGAGGTCTCCTAACCTAGTTAGGAGTAACAAGATGGCAGCAAAAGGAGGAGAGACACTTTCCAACGAAGATATGACACATTGGAGTTATATGTTGATAAAATGATACAAACTTGATCGCCAAGATAGTCAATTCTTTTTGTAACTGACCAAGTAAGACATTTTATAACTTCTTCCACTCTACAAATCAATGCTCTAACTGCAGAAATTTTGGCTGGAAAATTGGAAAAATTCAGCAATGCACCGGTGATGACACCGTAAGCAGGGTCTTAAGTATTGTGGCACTAATCCCACCAAACACAACAGTGGCCAAAAGTGATGTGTGTGGAGGTTTTTTTTTAATGTTTTTTAAAAAACACATTTCACTTAAACCATTCAAATACGAGGGAAAAAAAACACTGACCAGTGTTGCCAACTGCTTTCAACTGAAAGTAGCTAAAACAGTTGCTAAATGTTGCTAGATTAGCTTGAATAATGGCAAGTTCATATGTCTATAGATCAGTGGGGGGAGTCTTGGAATCTAGATAAGGTTTGTCCAAGAAATTGATTTTGTTGCTAGGCTTTTGAAAAAAAGTCTCAAAAGGGGTGAGGAAGTCACTAAATCTAGTGACAAAATCACTAAATTGGCAACATTGATATTTACTACAACATCATCAGTTATTGATATTTCGTTGATCCTCTTGTTTTTGCATGTTTATCATTTCTTTGTATGACAGCATGGCCAAAAAGTATGACCGTACAATTTGGTATGTTTCATTGCGTTATTGACTCTGAGCAACTATGCAACATGCTTACAAAATCTTTAACACATTTTTTTTAAATAAGGGTGAAGATGGACATCAATTTTGGCCACTACTATATGGCAGTTCATTGACCTTCCAACTGCCCATCAAACCATGCTGCAAAAACAAGTCACTTTTATGAGGATTATGGGCTTTGCTGGAGTTGTTTGAGCCGTTGATGGAACTCATGTTCACGTCATTGATCCAACTGTAAACGAGGAGAAATACCAATAGAATACAATTTCAAAGCATCAGTGATAATTTGGCACAATGCAAAGCATTTTTCAAAAATACATACATTACTTAATTAAATGATATTATTATAGTTACATTAAATGATTGGCGTTTTGCTGCTGTGACTTCACATGAGCAGGCTCACTATTGGCTGATTCATAGGTCGAGGTCGGCCATTTTGAGTTGACATCATTGTAGTCTTTAGTTCACAACACTTTAAGGGGTCATATGATGCTTTTTTTTAAAGATCATTATTTGGTGTAACAGAATATGTTGACATGCTTTAATTTCAAAAAACATTATTTTTCAAATACTGTAACTGCCGTTACTGAAACTATGCCTTCTTTCTTTGCGTGCACATTTGGGCGGCATTATGCAAATATTTCCACATAGTAAGGTAGCTATGTGGGGGCGTGTTAGAATGAGCCGTTTTAGGGGGGCGTGGCAGAGTCTTAAATTTGATAAAGAATATCTCTTTGGTTTTGAGACTTTAGTCTTTGCAACTTCAGGGATCTTATCTATGCACAATCAGCTTGTAACACTCCAAAGAGAAAGGAAAACTTGAAATCGCATCATATGACCCCTTTAAGTGTCACCTCAGTCAACACTTAAGAATCAGTCTTAGACTTGACTGAAAGTTGCTTTTAGCTTCTTTATAAAGGTCTTCTACTCTTAGACAAGTCCTGCTTTTTACTAAGAATTTTTTGACACTTAAGTCAAAGCTTAAGACTATTCTTAAGAGCATTTCTGAGAAGTTTTATACATACGGGCCCACATCTTTAAAGTGACATTCATCATTTGAAAGAAAATGCAAGACAGAAAATAATTTAAACTATAGAGTGTTAAGCTTTCTGTTAAATTTAAATAAGATATTTAAATAATCAAATAATGAATGGGATATTATGAATTACATTTTAAAATATTTAATTTGAATAAATATTCAATAAAATATACTTTTTATTTTTTTTCCATTGTCCAAGCAAAAACAGACAGCTGTTTACAGCTGACAATCATGTGACTGACCGTTTGAGCAGCGTGTTCCCAGGTTTGCAGGATCACAGAACTCACTCCTCCATTATGGATAATAAATCACCATATGAATGCAAGAGTTTTATCACTGAGGTGCCAGGCAGATTTATTTTTACAGATGTTTCCATGAGAAACAATTAGCCTCACAACTAGCCAATTGAACAGACATGACCAGATTTTAGGAGCCAGTCTTATATGGAGTTAACGTATTCCAACATTACCATCAGACATTGCAGTTAAGTCTCACAAATGATTTGCAGATGTATGACTACAGTTTGGACATGTGGAGTTTAGGCTGTATGTTAGCCAGTATGATCTTCCAGAAAGAGCCATTTTTCCATGGTCAAGACAACTATGACCAGGTATGACTTTTCATTCTTCTGTAAAAAATATTACAATATGTAGTGTTAAAATATTCAGTATGCTAACAGCAGAATCTTTCCTGCAGTTGGTCAGAATTGCCAAGGTTCTTGGAACAGAAGAGCTATCCAGCTACCTGAACAAGTATCACATTGAGCTGGACACACGTTTCAAAGATCTGCTTGGCCAGTGAGTCTGTGAATTATTGACAGTGATTTTCACATTAGTCCGTTTTTAAGGATCTTTGTACAATATTTTAGTGAATTCTACATATTGATTTTAAATGATTTCATATTGAAATTGCTAGAGTGTTTTCATTTTGAAACTGCAAACATCTTCAGGCAGACCCGTAAGCGCTGGGAGAACTTTGTTCAGCCTGAGAATCAGCACTTGGTGAGCCCAGAAGCTTTGGATTTGCTGGATAAACTTCTGTGTTATGATCATCAACAGAGACTGACTGCCCAAGAGGCCATGGAACACCCCTACTTTTGTGAGCTGGCTTTCCTTATCTGCTTTGATTCATTGATTTCTCAAGTTAAAAACATGACGCAAAAAAACATGTTCGATATTTGGCCTTCGGCCCAGTGTTTCATTTTGTGTGGCTTCGACAAAAAATTTTCATTTCGGTGCATCCATACTTTATTTAGGTATAATGCTGTATAAAGGGTTATTAAACTGTATAATGCATTATAATTATTCATGATGCGTGATGTAATACATTATATGTGGTTGTAAATAATTATAACCAAATTTAAAATGCATAGTGTAACAATGAATTGATGTTATAATCTATTAACTGTGGTTACAATTATTCATGAGATTGTACAATGCATTATAAGGAGCATTACAAGGCATAATTAATGCA